TTCTGCACTGATTTTTGAGACCATGGGGAGGCAGACCATCACAGCAGGAAAAGCATATGAAAGTGTCTACCTGCAGTAGATAGCAAAGAAAATGAGACACGGAGACCAGGTCTAACCTGCAAAGGCTTTCTCACACTCATCTACTTTCTTATGGAGGTTTCTCCCACCTTCCCAAAACAGCGCTACCTGCCGGGCATCAAGCACTCAGCACCTGAGCCTGTGTAGGACATTTCGTACTTCAACCATAACAAAGGGCAGTGAAAATGAAAGCCAGTATTGCAGTTCAGAATTCTAATGTTCTTAAGGAATTACAAGAGACTTTGAATTTGTAAGGAACAAACTGAAATTATGAATACCATGTTAAAGGCAGTATTTAGATAAGGAAATGGCAGAATGAGAAAAGTGAACTTGGTGGTTTTTAAAACCAGGTTTTATTTGTAGAGAGATCTGTCCTAAACAATTACTTAACCATTCAGTCTTTGACCTTTGAGTTTTGTACACAGGAATCTGCTGACAACAAAACAGAATGACTTTAATTTAGAATTCTAGGTTACTGCTTTTTGTATTGCACAAAATACTATCTTGTTTGCCACTAGTCTGTTTATAGACAAAGAGCTACTCAAATTAAATTATCAGCCTGAAGAGCTAGATAAGATATAATTCTTTATTTTGTAAAAATAGAACTGATTTATTAATCATTTACTTAAATCTAAAAAACTCAAGTTTCCAATTTTAACATACCACAGACAGCATTCTATTACGTAAAACTTTGCCCACCTTTTAAAATCTTTAGGCAGAACTTATAAGCAGAATTTCTGTATTAGTGAGTATTTTATAGCATTTAGTAAGTTATTCAGCTCTAATTCTACTTGAACAGAGCTTCAGAATACAGAGAAGAGGACACCAATCATATGGGGGGGGGTGCTCTAAGGAAAGCAAGGCTGTGTGAGGTTTATCACCATGGCTGTAATACCCCTACATAGTCACATTACCATGTCTTCTCAAGGGCCAAAACCAAAGTGTTATCATCTGGGAGTACTGGATAATAAAATAATTTTATACTTTTTCAACAGAAAGGGGGCTTTAAAAAAAAAAGCAAAACAGTAATTTTAAAAGCTAGCTAGTATCCCAAATATTGTTTTGTCTCATGAATAACCTCTATTTCTGAAATGGGTAAATTTCAGGTCCTATAATCACTAATAAAATCTAGCACAATTTTTTGGTGTATGTACATGTGTGTCTGTGTCCTTCTGTGGCTGAATATTTAGACAAAAGCTTCCTATGAACAACTCAGAGCAGCTTGTCCGTAGTTTTCTATAACAATGGCAATGTTCTATCTTCACTTTGTACAATAACGCAGGCTACTCAACACTTGGAGTTTGACCAGTGTGACTTAAGTACTCAAAAATTTCAGCTTTACTTAAAATAAATAAATAAATAAATAAATAAATAAATAAATAATGACAGTAAGTACAGATTCCTGGAGCTACTGTAGGTAGGAAATTTTTAGAGAATAAAAACTAAAACAATACTATGCTAACTGAACTACTTGGCTCATCAATATAATGGATATATACTATTAGTTGCCTACTCAGAACATTTTTGGAAGCCCCATTTAGGTAGTTTTATTTAACTTTTCCCCAGCTTAAATATTAAATCTGATTTAACTTTACATGGGGGTGGGGGACTTGCAAGATGGCTCCTAAGGGCACTTGCAGCTAAGCCTGATGACCTGAGTTTGACCTTTGGAACAAACAGCGCAAGGAAAGAACCTTGCAAATTGTGTTCTGACTTCATATGCACTCAGTGGCTCACATGTGCATGCACACATACACACACGAAATACCGTCATTTGTCTGGAAATGTTACAACTGAAGAACACTATGTTAAGGGAAAAAAGCCTGACCAAGCTATACAAATATTGCTGTTTTCTCTCATAGGTGGATCCCAGCTTTTACTGATAAAAGCATTTACATATGTAAACAAGTATGTGTGGGTATCTTAGAAAAGGGAGGGGACAAGTGGGAGGGGAAGAAAGTGGAAGATTTAAAGACGGAGTAAATATGGTCAAACATTTACTTAAAAAGTGTTCATGAAATCCACCATAATGGCAATGACTTTACATACATACATACAGGTTTTTGGAGACACGGTTTCTCTGTGTAACAGACTCCTGACTGTCCTGGAATTCACTCAGTACACCAGGCTGGCCTTGAACTCACATAGATCCACCTGCCTCTGCCTCCTGAGGGCTGGGATTAAAAGCGTGTGCCACCATGACCAGTTAATAAAAATATTTTTAAAAGTCACCTCCAGAATCAGTACCAACCAATCAAAAAGTCAGACACAAACTTGAAACATTTATAATTCCACCTGAGTTAAAATAGAGGTTGTTATTGACATCCTCAGAACACTGTAACATACACTGAGATCAGTATCTGATTAAATATTAGCTACTAATAGTCTGAGTTAACATATACTAGCTATCACACTTAGATTCAATTAAATATTCCTTTCAACTCTAGAAAAAGCCTTTTTAAAATAATTTTTTTTCTTCTTCAAAGGGATGTAAACTCTCGGCGGAGCTGACACAGTTAAGCAAGGGAACGGTCACTCTCTGGAGTGACTATTTAGAGAAACTAAACAAAACTCTTTTCACACTCTGTCCCTACAGAACAAGATCAAGTTCATTCTTCTTCTTCTGTTTTTTGTCTTTGTTTTCTCTGTAGCTTTGGAGCCTGTCCTGGAACTTGCTCTGTAGACCAGGCTGGCCTTGAACTCACAGAGACCCACCTGCTTCTTCCTCCTGAGTGCTGATTTAAAGGCATACACCACCATAGCCCACAGAACAAGATCATTCTTAAGTAGCTCTAGCATCTTACCTACCCGTTAGAAACATGTTTCAAAAACTACATTTAAAAGCAGAAACCACACATCAAAAGTACACCTCTGAGAGATATATTCTTGCTTTTTTTTTTTTTTTTTATAAATGGTTTCAAACAAATTCTGCTGCATTTAAAAAAAGATTTAATTTTTTTTCTTGGAGATTCAGTCACCCATTAAATATGTGCTATAAAGCAGGTGCTGTTTATGGAATCTGAGCTAAGTCACTGAGGAACATCATGGCTCAGTCTGGGCAGAGCTCAACATCTGGCAAAGGAACACCCTCAACCAGCTGTTTTCTCTTTGAACATGATAATGGAGTGTTAAGAAATGTGAAAACAGCCGGTTGGTGGCACACACCTTTAAATCCAGCACTAGGAAGGCAGAGTTCGAGGCCAGCCTGGTCTACAGAGCTAGTTCCAGGACAAGCTCCAAAGCAATACAGAGAAACCCTGTCTCGAAAAACAAAAAAAAAAAAAAAACAAAACCGAAAAATTTTTGTGAAAATAGTTTTGAAAGTCCGTGTGTCCGGCAACTTTCAGATCTGAGTGTAACCTTCTAGGAGATCCTGTCTTATTATCAGCATAGAGGTACTCTTGGGTCTAAATCCTGGTTCTATCACTTAGAGGAGACTGACCTTGGCAAACACACTTAATCCTCATCTGTAAAACAAAAATAATCCTAACCACCCTACTGGGTTCACAAGAAAACGAGCAAGGGATGTGTATAACAGTAGAAAATATGATAGTAGTAGCTATTATTTTAACCCAATTTCCAGAAAACCAGACAGCACTCAGACAATATAGGGACAAAGGTAATTCTTAGAACATATTTTTATCTGGCATGTAGAGTCCTCCCTACTTTAATACTTTCAAAAAATCCTTTCTCTATCAAATCATTTTACATGATTCAAATTCTACAAAGAGGTAAAGCCGTGGGGGTTGTATAAACAAGGAGTTAAGAGACTTTAAACTCATTAAGAGGAAAAATTTAAGATATGTGTGGCTGGGGTCTGCCTGCAATGCCAGCATTAGGGAGGCCTGACATAGGAGAATCGTAAGTTCAATTTCAGCCTGGGATAAATAATGAAATTCTGTCTTTAAAGGTTTTTTTGTTTTTTTATTTTTTACTTTTTTAAGTCAAAATTAGGCTTATTTTCTCTAAGACGATAATAGCAATTATCTGGGGGGGAAAACAACAAAACAAAACTCAATCATTAGATCCAACAAATTCCAATGCTTCATTCAATATGCACATAGCGCTTTGGGGCTGTAGGATCCACAAGACCTTTGGTTGCATTTGTCTATATTGAGGAACGAAAATTAATTCTTAAAACTGGATAATGGCATATAATAAAATACACAATCCCAGTTATCTGAAATTGATTTCTCATACTTGTCAAAACGTAAGCCGTTTAGTTCAAGGTTAATAAAGGAGTCAACAACCTCAGAAAGGCTAATGTTCACAAACTGCAAGTGGGAGGTGCACACTGCAAACTTGTCTACAGCACGGCCATGTTCATAAAAGTGCGTACAAATAGGTAGACGAGCAAAAACACACTTTCATTGCTGCTTGGGACGGATCGAATTTGCTGGAAGTAACTCAGGATAAACTGCAAATCTAATTGTAGTTTCCCCACCACTCTGAAGGGGGGATGGCGAGGCACTTCACCAGTAGAGTCTACGTTCTGACCCTAATGTTGAGGCGAAAGCCTGTAACGGTATGACTCCCTGGATAGTATGGCCTGGACTACAAACAAGGCGATAAGAAATGTCCCGTCACTCACTCCCAAAGGTGACGCTGCTGAATATTTTTAAAAGGACACCCCAACTAGCAAGGACGGGAGAGCAGAGCGTTAGGGATCATAACGCAAGAGGGTGTAAGACGGCACCAGGAGGAGCGAGGGCTGCCAGGACTCCCGAAGGACCTAGGGCAGGGGTGACCTCTTTCGATCGGCCCGGGCGGTGGGGTCGGGAGTGCTGACCATTCCTGCCTGCAGCGGGGAGGCCTCCACACACCGCGCACGGCGCGCCCCGCTGCCGCCAGACACACGCCCGCGATGAAGGTGCCCTCTGGCCCCCTCCCGAAGCCCCACTGCCAACATGGACCAAGGCTACCTCTCAGGATATGGGCGCGCGCGCGCGGGCGGGGGGCTGATCCACGGAATCCCGCCGCACCGGCCGGAAGAAGCTGGCTTGGCAAGGCGACCCGGCCAAGCGCGGGCAGGCAGGGTGAGGTGTCGCACGACCCAGGCGAACACTAGGCCTCCGCCGCCCAGGCCAGCCGCGCCCACTAGCAACGTGCTCCGACCCTCCGTGCCCGCTCGCAGGTCTACGGGCACGCCACCGCGCGAGGAACCATGGGACTCGTAGTTCCGGCGCAGAGGAAGCCACGCTCCAAGGCCGGTTGCTAATCCCGGGCGCACTCCCAGGAAGTGACGTAACAAGGCGCGCGTGGCGCCGGCCGGCGTTTCCGCAAACAGAATCGTGGATGACTGTGTGGGTGAGTGTGGCGTTCGGCGTTCTGGCCTTTCCTTGTTTCTTTTGTCTTTGGTCCTGCGCGCTAAGAGCAAAGACGGCCAGAACGGCGGGACGCCTGACTGGGCTTACTTCCCTTCAGCCCCCTGCCGCCGGTCCTTGCCCCATGGGGTTCATTGTGCCCGTGGCCGGAAGCAGTCGGGCACTGCTTGTCTTGAGGCGGTGGGCGCTGTCGCTCCACCAGACCTCTCTGTCCCAGGGACGAGAAGCTCCAGAGCTTCTGCACGGGCCGAGGGGCTGTGATGAGGCTGCGATGGGCCGGTTGAGGTGTAGAGACCCAAAGAGGGTTTGTTCAGGTTCTGTAGGAACCTGAACCAGACGTAGAGTAACCGCGGGGCCGGTGAGGGGAGCAGATGAACTCGGAGAACTGCTTGCCCCCTCCTTCTGTCTTATCGCCTTGCCCCCCGATATAGACAGTCGGGGTACCCGGGTCCGTCGAGGTCGTGCTTGACCATTAGCTAGCAAGCAGAAACTGGAACGACCGAGAAACACGATTTACATTAGGAGCGTTACCGAACTTACGGCGGGCCATAGCCTGTGCACACCTTCAACAAGCACAGGACAGAGCCAGGTTAATAACGAAAAGCAGAAAACGGAGATTTGCTCTGTGAGACACGTTGGGAAGTGACACCGAGATATCCAACTAATACTCTTTTCTGTCTTGGTGGGTCTTGAAATGGGGGTGAGGTTTAAGTAGGAGGCAAGAAAAATGCTGTTTGGCCAAGATGTGGTCCTGCCTACCATGCCCCATCTTTGCCTGGGCATCTTCAATCCCTGTGGCTTGCTTCTTTCCCTTCTCTCAGCACAAGATCCCTAGGGGAAATATTTCAATCATGTTCTCTTTCTTTTTCCCCTCTCTCCCTCTTCATCGTCTCTTCCCCAACCCCTCTCTCTGTTCATTGTTTCAGCAATTTAATAGATCAAGAGACCCTGGTATCTCTTTAGAATATCTTGATTTCTGTGAGGCAAGTTACAGTGTGATTACAGCCAGGTCAGAATACCCATTTCCATGTCGGTCTATTTTTTAACCACAAAATCACTTCTCCATTATTCTTTTGGGACATCTCTCTTTCAAGTATTTCCACTATCATTGATAGTTTTAGTATTATAAATATTCGTGCAATGCCAGGGATCAAACCCAGAGCCCAGAGAATGCTCTTGTGAACCAGAATTCCTAGAAAGAAGCTGTCACTACAAAGCTGTTTAGAGTTTTGGTGATTTTTAGAACTTCAATGATTAGGATAAGATGGAATGTTGCAAGTCCAGATCCTACTTATCTTGGCCCACCTTTAGCCTCCTTACTAGCCATTCTGCTCTCTATGCAACCTAACATTTTTGTGACCATTAGGTAAATCCTTAGGAATGTATAAACAGACCTCTGGTTCTGACCAACTAAAGGCTTACGATGCTGTCAGATAGCATTTGGGTCCTATAGCTGAGTTTTCCTTGCTTTTCTGTGACCCACCTACCTGACATTTCCACCAATGTATTTGAGAAAGTGTCTGGATTTAGGACTTTGTTCTGTTACTATAAAACTTACTGGAACTGTTAGCATGTCAGAACATGGAATTTGAGTAACCTAAATCTGTATCCCTTAGCCATTGTCACACAATTTTGGCTCCAGAGTAAACTATCTTCTATCCTCTTTGAGGTAAGAGCTATTGTGCTCTATAATTGAGTTGTTTGACACATCATTCTAGACATTTGTAACCATTTTGTAGTTGAGGATGCTTTTATGACAGCTAACCTGTGGAAGTATAGACTGAATAAAATTCATCCTTAAATACCTAATTTTAGGCATTAATTACAGATAGCAACATTTTGCATGGCCTATTTGTTATAAAAATAAGTTTCTTCTAGGTGTTAAATGGTAGAGAAGAAGTAAGTTTTGATAATTAGATGAGCAGTTCTCCTTGATACTGATTTATAGTAGGTACTCTGTAAATTATCTTTTTTAGTCTGATTCAGTTGTTCCTGTGTAACATATTTTTGTTTTCTATTCCTTTGAGTCAGTACTGGAAGTTAGTGAAAACTAGTGTCTTCTGAAATCCTCCTCAGTTTCCAATGACTTGTTTTTGCCTGTTCCTATAAATATTGTCATCTCTTCTTTATGCAGAAGACCTTTGAAAGTAATTTACCTCTTGTCTTACTCTTCTATTCTGATGAAACACTTTGACCAAGCTAAACTTTTATAAGAGTTTATTTTGGGCTTATAGTTTCAGAGGGTTAGAGTCCATGACCATCATGTCAAGGACATGGCAGCATGTGGGCAGGCAGGTTCTGGAGCAATAGCTGAAGAGTTTACATCTTGATTCTGTAGCACAAGGCAGAATGCTATTTGGGAGTAGACTGACTTTTGAAACTACAAAGTCCACTCATGGTGACATGACCTCCTCCACCAAGGCTATACCTTCTAGCCCTTGCCAAACTGTAGCACCAACTGAGATCACATTTGAAAGTGACTTAATGCTTGTTACACTGAAGGCTGAGTGTTCAAGCTGTTCTAAAGCTATTTCCATTCTCCGCTTTCTGTACAATTATAGGGTCCTTTATTAAATAAGGATTGCAAGAGTCTTGACTTCCTGTATTATTTTTGTGTAATCAGAATACCTAAGGGAGCAATATATAGAAAGGAAAGATTTAACTTATAATTTTGGAGATTTTAGGCCACATTACTCGATGTTGGTGATTTTGGGCCTGTGGTAAGGCCCCATTCTGGGCTCCTGGAAAGGCTGGCCATTATGCTGGTGATAATGTATAAAGGAGGGGGCAGTTTACTTCATGGTCAAGAAGTAATTACTAACAACTAGGTATGATTTACATATATTCTCCAAACAGGCTTTACCTCCCTAAAGTCTCTAGAACCTCCCAAAATATTGCTACTAGCTGGAAACCAACCAAGCATTCAGCATATAGGCCTAAGGGGGTTTCACAGACAATAACACTGTGCTCCAGCCTCAAAGCTCCATGACCCAAAGCAGATGCTGGGAGCTGACTCTCAGTACCCAGAGTTAGCACTTCCAGGGCTGTTCAGAAGTCTAAGTTCAAAGTTTTGACACTCAGGGCAGGCCCTTTGCTGTGAGACACAGTGAGTTCAAAAGACAACTAAATGGTAATTCTGGTAGGAACCCAAAAGATTAGAATGCCAACAGGATACAGTGAGCCAGGCTTCAGAAGCCTCAGATCTCAGGGAGCAAGGATGCTTTGGGGGATGGGACTACAGGCCATTCATCCTATTACCCTGGCAAAGAATTTGTAAAGAGTTGTCTGTGCCCTGAAACTTTGTCTCAGGCTAAGTTTAAAGCTAACAAACTAATTAACTTAGTGGAAGAAATGTCAAAATTCAAGCTGTTGCATACTTTTTTGTTGCTTTTGCTTTTTGAGATGGGCTCTTGCTGTGTAGCCCTAGCTGGCCTGGAACTCCATGTGAACTTGGCTCCCACTCACAGAGATCCTCTGATCTTTACCAGCCAGGTGCTGGGATTAAAGGCATATGCCACTGTGCTCAGATTGTTGCATGGTTATCAGTAACTATTTCTTATCATCTTTACAGTGAGAATCAACAACAGAAACTTAAGTTTGATCAAGTTACTGTATTACAACATACTAGGCCCACGGTACACATACTGTTTCAAATTCTCCCCTCAGATCAGTTCCACAGATATCTGCACAGCATTGTTGGGAAGTCACAGTGTGACAACCCCACTGCTCTGGTACTAGTCTTAGTTACTTTTGCTTCAGTGTGACCAGAAGTCAAGAGAAAAGCAATTTAAGGGAGTAGGATTATTTTGGCTTGTATTATTTGAGATTTCAGTTTGTGATTGTTTGGCTTCTTGTACTTGGGCAGAATACTATGGCAACAGTAGTGACCTTCATTTTGTAGTAATGGAGGAGGCAGAGAGAAAGTTGTCAAGGATGGGCATAATTTTCAATGGTATCGCTCCAATGACCTACTTCCTCCAAACTAGTCCCCGTGTTCTTGTAATACTACTATATATAATGCATATATAAGCATTTTTAAAGTCCTGGTGTATACAAGCTTTTGACATTATGAAAGAATGTCATCTACAAAATTCATGTTTGAGATTTGCACTGAACAGTTTATGATTTTTGTGTTGGGCTACATTCATAGCTATAACAATGGCCATAAGTGGTCTTGGACCATAGGTTAGACCTGCCTGTGTGACTGAAATTGTTTTAAACTCCTGAAACTAAATGACCAACTTTATTAAAATTATCTTAGAATCTTGGTGTTAGTGTTTATAAATAATGCCTTTTTTTTCCCTCTGTGTTTTTTGTTTTTTGTTTTTTTTTTTTTGTTTGTTTTTTTTTCCATTCCAGTGTTGATTCATGAAGTTTTGCTGTCAGTTCAAGTAACCAGAAATGGAAAGTTCTGCAAAAACAGACAAATATGAAAACATGTCTTTTGACAAGGCAAAAGTATCAATAGATTCTGAAACAGAATCTTCTCCGAGTGTTAATGAGTCTATCGCTGCATCTGGGCAGAAGCTTTCTGAAAAGACACCCACAGGTCAGCAAGTAGATAAACCAAAAAGGAGAAAAGAGTTTGAAGATGATCTTGTCGAGGAAAATTCAAGTCATGTGGAAGACTCTCCATCCAAGAAAAGAAAACTTGATGTTGAAATCCTAGAGGAAAAATGCTCTGGAGGTGATGGAGCTGATTCAAAGAAAAGGAAACTGGAAAGGAGTGACGTTTCTGAGGATGCTGCAGAAAAGCGGAAAGTATGCTCCGTGTGTCTTATTTGTAATTTGGTGTGCTAACCACAAATATGGAACAGCTGTGGAGAGAAATGTATCTTAATGCACAATAGACTTTAACTCCTAAAATTAATGTTTGTTAAGGTGAAAGTTGTGCTGTGCTCAATCATTTTCATATCATTTTGGAACTTAATTGACCAGAACCTTGAAAGCTAGTTTCTATAGTTTGCTTTGTATTAATTTTTTTTTTTTTCAGGATGGCAATATGTAGCCCAGCAGATTTACTCTTTGTCCTGTCTTTTCTTTTTTCCTTTCTTTCTTTCTTTCTTTCTTTCTTTCTTTCTTTCTTTCTAAGATTTCTTTATTTGTTTTATGTGCATTGGTGGTTTGCCTCCATGTATGTTTGTGTGGGGGTGTCGGATCCCCTGGGATTGGAGTTACAGACAGTTGTAAACTTCCATGAACCTGGGCACTCTGGAAGAGCAGCCAGTGCCCTTAACCGATGGGCCATCTCTCTAGCCCCCTTTTTGCTCTTTTTTTAATCAGGTGTTTCAAGATGCCTGATCATCACTTAAAGTTATAAATGTCAAAATTATGTCCAGCCTTATTCTCCTTTATTAATGTGCTAAAATATAGTTGTTCCCAGCTTCTAGTCTGGTATATGTAATATTTAGAATAATTTTGGTTAAGTTGATGTAAAAGACTGATATGGAGCAAGTGGTAACAAACATTTACCGTATTAGAAAGGATTCTGAGGCTGAATCTGGAGAGAAGGAATAATTTACAAATTAGTTACAATTGCTGTCAGGCGTGGAGAAGAAAGTAGCAGGCCAGGCTTTCACTGCTGGTGTCCTTGTAACAAGGTGAGCTAATATGTTAAACCTGGGTTTAAAATTCATGCTGCCAGATTTTTTTTTTCAAGTATAAATTTTCCCTTATATTTGATGTGTAAAGTGAGTAAAGACTTAGGTACTTTGAAAAGGGAGATGGCAGGTGTTGAAGGCCCTTACCTACTATGGAATTTTTATAGAATGCTTAGGATTTTACTAAACTCAGATAGAAAATTGTTGCATTAGATTAATAATGTGTAATAAAAGTCACTGATATGGAGTGTAACCTCCTAAATTCTAATCCCATATGTGTGTGTGTATGTATGTATTATATAATCATAACAATTATTTTCTACTGATATTAAACTGTAATAGCTTATTTATCTTACTGCCTTTTCTTTCAGAAGTTCATCCACTGACTGTAATTTGTTATTGAATAAATCAAAGCTCTGGAAAAAAAGAGTAGTTTCCTTAAAACATGTAGCCTTAATACAGGCGACAAGCACAATGAAGACCTTCAGAGTCAGGGAAACACCTCTTAGGTGAGGTAGAATTGCTATTTCTGTGGGGCCACCATTGCTGTGTGAAATGCCCTTCAGTTGTGCTTGCTTCTTCCAGGGTCAGGTGGTCTGGGGCTTTTGTTTCCTTTCTATATCATGCTCTAACCCTTGACTTCTGTCCTTTCGGTTTCAGAAGCTGGTGGAAGGTCACAGCTCTGCCGTTGCTGCCCACTATAATGAGCTTCAAGAAGTGGGTTTGGAGAAGCGCAGTCAGAGTCGCATTTTTTACCTAAGAAACTTTAATAATTGGATTAAAAGTATTCTTATTGGTATGATTGTTTTTTGCCCTTTAGTTAAGAGATTTAAATTTTTACTGAATTACATTTTACAGTGCTGGACCTTGAAAGTCTTCTACCATGTTGATCCATGGCCCATTTCTTTTGTTTTTTTTTTTTCCCTCCCAGTTTTAATCATATATCAAGTTGAAGGCCATTATTTGTTTTTCATTTTGTGATCACAGTGTGGCTTTAAAAAACTAGAGAGCCAAAAGTAGGCCCTTCAGATAAGTTATTATTTGCTTTTGGTTAATTGTATGGGGTATTAATGTTTAAATAGTTAAATAGGCTTTCATTTGGCAGCGTGCTTCTTTATACTTGTAATTAATGTTTCCCAAGGCTGTTATGCTAATATTTTTGTGTGGTGGCATGTGGGATTGAACATTGAGTTACTGTTGTGTCAAGAAAAGGACAGTGTTATGATTCTACTTATAAGCCTTTAGGGACTTGGCATCAGTTATCATAGAACTTGCTTGTCTTACGTGATTTCTTAGGGAAAATGATGTTTACTTTGAGGACTGATAAAAACATACAGCTTTGGAGCCAACATTTTGTCTATGGAAGCTCATATTTAAAATTAAAATAGAAGTGAGTAGAGAAAAATAGAATTTATAATGTAGTATTGTTTCCTCTAGTTAAGTCAGACTTGTATGTAAATTTAGAGAAATTATAAGAGTAGTTTTTAAGTTTTTTATAGTCAAGTTTTCTTTTTGTCTGATTTTCAATTCATACAAATAAAGTTTAGTGAAAATTCTGCCAAGTTGACTTTAAAAAATGTTTATACATTTAACATGTAATTTTGTTATTTTGGTGAATAAGTGTGAGAGTCATTGCAGAAACTTAAATATGGAACACTTAATGGTGCTATTGTAGCTATATTGAAAGGCAGAAATATTTGTACTGACTATTTTAGCCACCCAAATAATACATATACAAATTATAAAGTATACAGAGTGATAAAACAGGAAAAAACAAGTGTAAGATTCATTATTATATCAGTTTTTAGTATTGTTGAATACTTCATTTATCTCAGACTATTACTAAGCCTTTTAAACCACTGTTTGAACTTTTGCCTGTTTATGAGGTAAAAGGTAGTTAGTTTATAATTTTGATTATCTTTTAAGCCCGACTATAGAGAGTAAGAATCAATTACTGTTATCTTAGCTACTTCAGTTTTAGTATATATGAAGCCTTATGGGAATAGAGAGAAAGCTGTAAGAAATAAAAGTTTCTCTCATCATAAATGTAATAATTTTTTAAAATTAGAACTTAAATGCTATCTATTTAATGTTGACTCAGAATTTGAAATTATCCTTCAAAAAAACCATTGTAACATTGTATTAGTTTATGTTTACTCTAATGCTAAAGGATCAAGTTAGTTACAATTAGATTTTGGAATACAAGACTACAAATTGATGATACATTAATGTGTTTTATATATATCATTCATATGTTTCGTCAGACAAAAGTTATTAGGTTTTAAAGAAATTGCTGCAGTAAAAATAGAGAAAATGCATTATGATTGATTTCTCTTTTTTTAGGGGAATTTTTAGAAAAGGTACGACAAAGAAAAAATCGTGATATCACTGCTTTGGACCTGGGATGTGGAAAAGGCGGAGACTTACTCAAGTGGAGAAAGGGGAGAATTAGCAGGCTAGTGTGTGCTGGTAAGACAGATGGACATGGTAAAAAGTTTGTTTGGGGACAATTGAAATGGCTCAGTTGGTAAAAACACTTGCCATGCAGTTCTAACAACCTAAGTTGAGTCCTCAGATCCCACATAAAGTTGGAAAGGAAAATATTTGCTTGTGCTTGGGGTCTTTTCCTTGTTCTCTCTCTCTCTCTCTCTCTCTCTCTCTCTCTCTCTCACACACACACACACACACACATATATATATACAGTGGTAGTAATAATAACTAACGAGAATTATTTTGGCCAATTACGTGAATGGGAAACTAGCAGGGTCTCCTTGCCAGCATGATGCTAAGGTAACTTAAGGCAGCTTTTCTTCTGAGATCTATGCATATGGAAAGTGTTTTGAAAAATTAGTTAAGTCTTTCCTGATGGTTTTGTTACAGTTAATGTTAATTTGTCCTTCGTGTTTTTAAGTTTTGTCTTGTTTTATGAGCCTTATATACTAAAAATATTTTTACTGAAGAATTAATGAAACTCTGTGTAGCTATAACGTTGATGTTTGACCATGTTAGAAATTGAGGCTGTGATTTTAAATTTATTGAAATTTAAAGTTTGATGGGAATTTTGGCAAGTTGACTCTAACAAGTGTTTCTACATTTAACATGTGATTTTGGTGACTAAGCAGTTGTAAATGAAAGGCTTTTTCATATAATGTGGTTATTCATCTTCAGTGATCATTCAACAGCGACATTCCTGTAAGGTCAGTTATAATGTGGGGCCTGAGGCCTTATTGACAGATGCACTGTGTCCCTTAAAATGACCCTATTCATTTTTCAGAAATACATGTATAATAGTCAGCAGTTGATAGTCATTCTTTTAAGTGCAAGTGGCTTATTTCAAACACGTGACTGGTATAAGCTACACTAAGGTTTTTCTTTTGGGCCATCAGCCAGCTTCCAAATTATGACACAGGGACTTAATAGTTTTGAATGCTTGGCCTAGCTTAGGCTCATTTCTGACTAGCTCCTTTAACCTGTTTCTCTTTTATCTGCCTTTTGCCTCAGGGCTTTTTCCTTTTCCTTCTTCTTGTATGTATGTCTGACTTTGACTGCTTTTGTTGACTGGCTGGCTGGTTGTGATCTCCCTTATTCTCCATTTTTCTCTCGAGCCTAAATTTCTCCTCCTGTTTATTCTCTGCCTGCCAGCTCCATCTATTCCTTTCTTGCCTGTTAGATCAGTTTTTTTATTAGATCAGTCTCAGGTACTTTAGGCAGGCAAGGTGAAACAAATAAAACACATTTTTACACAATTAAACACACATCCTTGGGTCGTTAAACAAATGCAGCATAAACAAATGTAACACACCTTCACTCAGTTAAAGTAATATTCCACAATTAGCTTACAACTCAGAAGAGATTATGTTAGGTGCTGCTGGTAACAAGAGAAGTCTTCTCCTTCCACATGGTGGTGCTCAGAGATCGGAATCACATGACTTCTTACTGCTTCATGAAGAATATTCTAAATGAAGACTGGGTTTTCCTACTGGTATATGATAGTGGAGAACATGGGACACCTCCACAGTACCATTTGGAGCCTCTCCTTTGCATGTATGATCAGGGACTGTCATTGCTCCTTCCAAGTGCAAATCTCAAAGCAAGGACATATTCCAGCATGAAAACTATAACTTGGTATTTCACAAAATGAGCTTATAGATAGTGTTAGGTTTTACAGTTCAGATGGAATCTTAAGTTGTCTGCCTCATTTTGAATGAGCATTTAAAACTTGGGCCTGGCAGGAATTTTGGTGCAAAAAAGTTCTTGCTGCCTAAACTGAAGTTTGATCCCCAGAACCCATGGTGGAGAGAAAGAGCCAATTCATGAAAGCTGTCCTTTGGCTTTCACATAGATAGCAACGATAAAATTGATCATCCCAGCACTTGCCTCGTGTCAGTACTGTTAAGAAAGCTTCTGCACTGGAACAAAGGAAACAGAGCCTTTGTTTAAAAGGAACTAGATAGAACCCTACAGCCATTTCCTGTCTTAGGCCTGGATTTCATGCTCCAGTTTATCAGTTGAATTGCTGTTCTGTGTTAACAATTACCAACACCCTTTCTACCCTTGTAGATATTGCTGATGTTTCTATGAAACAATGTCAACAGCGTTATGAAGACATGAGATGTCGTCGTGATAATGAATATATTTTTAATGCAGAATTTATAACTGCAGACTGTTCAAAGGTACAGAATCTTTGTTGTTTTAATTTTGAGATTTATTTTATGTGTATGAGTACTTGCCTATGTATGTGTTTTGTGCACCACCTGCATGCTTGGTACCTATAGAGGCCAGAAGATGGTATTGAATCGCCCTGGAACTGGAATTAAGGACAGTTATAAGCTGCCATGTAGATTCTGGGGATCAAACCTGTATCAGATCCGACAGCAGCAAGTGCTCTTGACTGCTGAGCCATCTCTGCAGCCTCATCTCTTAAAATCTGTTTTCTTCCTACAGTGCTGGGGATCAAATGCAAGGCCTCGTGCATGCTGCATCTCCATCTATAAAACTGACTCATTTGTTAAAATGTGATTTGAAATAGTAAAAGTCTCAAGGCATGCATTTTCAATTTCTACTGGAAATTGTTATGATAAATCCTTAAGTACTTTAAGGAAAGTTTTGCTTTTAATAATTGAATATTTGAAATACTTTTGTTGCTTTTTGATTTGCTCAAGATTCACTTTTCTAATAATCATACTTTAGTGTCCCTGTGACATTGGTCCTATGAACCCCAGAGTCCACAGGATCTCAGAATCACTTATACAAATTGGCATAGTATTTGTGGGTAGCTACACACATATTCATGCATTCTTTAAAAGTGTGTTTAGCTGATTTTATTATTGTACCTAATACAGTGAAAATGCTGTATAACTAGTCATATTATATTGTTTACTTTAAGAAGTAAATGTCAAGGAAAAGAAGTCTACAGATTTGTATAAAAATAAATTTTCCTCTTTTATATCTTTAGTCCATTATTCATTGAATTTACTGTTACAGAACCTAAGGGTATGAACGGCTGCTTTATTTTGCAGTAGACCTGGACTTAAAGTGTGTAGTTTATAAGAATGGTTTTCTGTTGTGCTGGAATCATTGTATGTTTCTACCTTCAGAACTGAATTGATGCTGTACTGGGAACTTGATGTTCTTTGTCTTTAAGTATTATATTTTAAAACATTTAAGTGGTACACATTTAGTAGTCATATTTTGTTTGCAGCCTTGAAAATGAGGATAAAAAAATATATGCTGCTAAAGTAATAGTACATCCTTTAACACTATTTCTTTTAGGTGCCAAAGGCTGAATTTTCATTACCCAAGTTTTTGATGAGTGTCAGTTTATCTTAACCCTCAAGACCAATTGAAATGTTATATAACATTTTAATTATTTTTATATGTGTGAGTTTAGTGTGTGTGTGTGTGTGTGTGTGTGTGTGTGTCAGTGTCAGGGTGGGGTTCCATTTGTGACACAGATGCCACAGGAGTCAGAGGGCTCCAGGTTTCAGCTTCTACTTTGTGTGGTAAAGCCTCCAGTGTTTGCTTCTGCTTTATACCCTGCGCTAGTTGGCCTGTGAGCTCCCAGATGTTCTGGACATCTAACTCAGATACTTTCACCTACACACTCTACCCTGTTATAGGCCAGAGTGAGGGTACTTTTCTAAAATATCCCTTGTTGTAATATATAAATGTCAAGAGAAAGAATAAGGCCAGAGTGAGGGTACTTTTCTAAAATGTCCCTTGTTGTAATATATAAATGTCAAGAGAAAGAATAAGTCCAAAGATTGACAAAAACTATTGGTTATTGTTGGGAATATCGATTTCAAGAACACCACATTCTAGTAATTTACTAAAAACAACACTTAATCTGTGTTGTATTAGCTTTGAATCTTAACCTATTTACATTTGTTTCAGGAACTTTTGGCTGAAAAGCTTCGTGATCCAGAAATGTGCTTTGACATCTGCAGCTGTCAGTTTGCTTGTCATTACTCCTTTGAGACCTTGGAGCAGGCTGATAAGATGCTTAGAAATGCTTGTGGAAGGCTTAACCCTGGGGGCTATTTTATCGGTACCACTCCCAATAGCTTTGAACTGATGTAAGTAACTTGAATCCAATTGAAATCAGTCAAATACCTTTTAAAATTGTGTCCTGTAGTTTTTCACATGTATGATATGATTGTTAGGATAAAAAATGTTAACCATAATTCTTTTATTTTGGTTGTGGAATAACCCTAATAGAAGACGCCTTGAAGCTTCAGAAACAGAATCATTTGGAAATGAAATATATACTGTGAAATTCCAGAAGAAAGGAAGTTATCCTTTATTTGGCTGCAAATATGACTTCAACTTGGAAAGTGTTGTGGATGTCCCTGAATTCTTGGTCTATTTTCCGTTGCTAACTGAGTAAGAATGTCTTGATCTGTTGCTTTTCCTTTCCCCTCATCCCTTATCCTAAGGGGACAAAATTAATATTGCTATTCATATTGTATTTTAAATGCAATCCTAAGAAAATGCCTTAGCTGCAGAATTGAGGTTCTCTTCAGATAGCTTTCTTTCCTAAGAGAGGGGAGCCAGCTGCTTCTACTCAAGGCAGAAGATAAATGACAGCAAACACAATTTTGGTAATATAAAAATTAGCAAGTCTAAGATCCTCCTTTAGAGAGAGATTATCAGAAGTTTGAGAGTAGCCCCGTGGTGTTGTTTTCCTTTTCCTTTTTTCTTTTGTCGTTTTTGTTTTTTTGACAATGTCTCTGTTATGTAGTCTTGGCTTTCCTGAAATTCCCTGGGTAGCTATGTAGACCAGGCTGGCCTTGAACCTCACAAAGATCTACCTGCCTTTGTCTTCATAATGCTGAGATTAAAGGCTTGTACCACCATGCCTACAGTGTTGACTATAAAGTTCTGATTCATGGGTATATTTCCCTCATGCACATTCATTCCTAAGAATTTTGGTGAATGGCAAGCACAGGAGAAATTGAAGGATTTCCCTGCCAGGAGAATATAATAAAAGCCAACTTAGATGGGGACTATATACATATGACCAAATTTCATTTTGTAGTTTTTAAAAACAACTATCTATTTTGAATATTAACTGAGGAAGTGGGAGGGTTTTTGCTTACCTGGATTTAGCTGGCGATTATTTTAATCCAGACTCAGTCACAATATAAGAATCTCTTACCTCTAGGTTAAGAAGTTAGTTGCTAGGTTGGTAGCTCATTCTTGTCCCAAACTCAAGAGACTGATACAGGAGGCCAACCTGGTTACAGTGTAATACTGGTTCAAAAACAAAGAAAGAAAGTAGAGAGCTGGAGAAAGAGAAAATCAGATAAAACAAAGACATGACAGCACATAAAAATATTGAATACAGTGTTACAGATATAAGCTGCTAATAACATTTAAATTTTTTAAATCAATTTGCAATGTTACTCTTTAAATGGGCATGGTTAATGCAAAAGGTATGGGCCCGGTGGTTATCTCACTACAACCCTTCAACTTGATAAAAGAAGAAATTAGAGTTTTCTCTGTTTTTCTTCATTTGTTTTGAATGCTGGCTAGGTATTTTTGCTTAACAAAATTAGTTTTAGTAGAACCCAAAATAAAAGAACATACGGAAATAATATTGTTTAATGTTAAGCAAACTTGGCATTATTGTTTTTTAAATTGTTTGAACATAATAAATTTAGGTAGTTATAGATTCTTGCTTTAATATATAATTATTTTCATCTCATTAAGTTTTTTTGAGAATTTCATGTAGGAGTTACAACTTTGGTCAAATCCCTCCTTCCCCATAATCACTTTGTCCCATGCTCCTCCCACATCCTCCTCAAATTATTTTCCTTTCCTTTGATGATGACGACAATGATGTAGCCTATTAAGTCCAGTTAATATTGCCCATATCCTCATGGACTTTTCTTACTGCTTTTGTTTTGTGATGGGACCTGGTCATCTGGAGTTAGGTAGTAAGAATTTCTAATCTACCTGTGTTGAGTGGGAATCTGTTTCTGATTTTGCTTTTAACTAACCGTGGTTGATTTCATCTTAGGTAGGAAGAGCTTCCAGTTCTGTTAATTATATACTTGTTTTAGCTTTTGACTGGTGAGGCTTGATGATTTCAATATAAGTTTTTTAATAGATTGAATATATTCTATTCCATTTGTGTGATTGGCTTAATGAGGTCCCTGGACAGCTTCAGGTGTGGTTGAGGTGTCTAAACACTAATAGAAGTATAGGCCAGTGCTTGGGTGAGGTTCTAGAGCTGAGGGGAGTGGAGAAGGGACCTTATCAGCACTGTGTCCTATGTGGGGCAAGAACTGAAGAGATTGTCTCTCTTGGTGAGTGAGAAGTCATACCAAGAAAGCCTGCCTGTACTCCCCCTTCTGGGACTGAGTCAGGGGAACAGAAGTGGGTTGGGATGAAAGATACAATAGTTTCACCAAGAAATCCCATGGCTGTAGCCTAATGCACCAGTTTTTAAAATGTATTTATTTGTGCAGGCACTTCGTGATCTAAATGTTAAATCTAAAAATGTTGAGTTTGAAATGGCTTCTTGCCATCTAATTAAGAAACTAAGCAATAATGTAATTAACTTGCTGAAAAGTCCATTCTAATTGCTTAAATTGGGTTCTTTGTAATGATGAGCGTCCCAACCCCCATAACTTGTTTTGTTTTAGTGGCTTGCCTTGGAGATTTATTTTAATTGAGTTGCCTTGAATAAAAGAAGTACCTATGTTCATGATGTTTCCAAAAAGGGCCAGCTTGGTTATCAGCCCAGTATGTCTCCTGCAGTGTGCCAGTGCCTCTGATGTGCCTAGCACCACCTCGTTTCAACCGTCCCTGCCATTCAAGCTTTGTATTACATGTTTCTCCCCCTTTGCCCACTACCTGAAATCGTCTCCAGGAAGAGACTTGTAAAGACTAGTGTTTAGGTAGAATGGGATATGGATGTAAAAGACAGGAACGGTGTTCCTACAAAACTCAGGAAGTGGCAAAGAGGGCTGAGCCAAGAAGAGGAAGGAAAACTAGTGGGGCTGGACCAAAGACTCCTGTTAAGAGATGGCAGTATCACATTAGAGATGAGTGGCTCAGAGACCATGTTCAAGGATTTTGAATTATGTCCTGGAGCCCAGTGAAGGGAATTAAAAAGGATAATGATATGACCAACTTTGTATATTTGAAAGCTTAATCTGTCTGTAGCTGGGAAAGATCATTGAGGGAAAGTATGACAGGAAGCAAAGGATAACATAATGATGCTAGTGATTGATGTAAGATGGCAATGAATGAATGTGGTAAAAAGTGGACCTATTTAAAGTAGACATGTGTGCAAGAGAAAGAGAACTTTATGATGTATTGATTACAGGGGGAATAGGAGAAGATTGATTTCATTGCAGTGATGAAGATGAGAAGTTAGTATCTGGCACATCTGGGGGTGATCTTCAATGAGTAGTGATGTTAATCAGTGTCACAAAAAAATCAGATATCAGATGGCTTCCAATATTCCATGTCATTGGTACAGAGATGGAAATAGGTTCTGGGGCAAACTTCAGAACCTTAACAATTAGAAATTGGGTTAAAGAGAAACCTGTAAAACAATCACAAGAAGCTACCCAAGTTATACTTTTGACAATAATAATAATAATAATAGTGATAATAATAATAGTTTATGTTACCTGAGAATGCAGGAGATGAAAATGAATAAGAAAGATGTTGTCATCATTTGCAGATATGGGGAAGTAAATAAAGTAGAACTGATAGAAAAGTGCTCTGTATGGCCCCTTGTCCCATGACTTGTGTGTCATGCTAAAGGAAGACCTGTAGCTTGTGGACATTTAGAATACTTTCCTTCATAGGCATGTAAGTTGTTACTCATCCTTCCTTTGTATTCTGTTCAACATAAGTAAATAGTAGCTTTTTTAGTTAAACCCAGATGTCACTGCTAATTATAAAGTAAACTATGGAATTAAAGGACCAGAGAGATGGCATTTGCTGCCAGGCATGATACCCCTTCAGTCCCTAGGGCCCACATCATGGAAGGAGACAGCCAGTACCCTCAGGTTGTACTCTGCTCACCACCCACAAGCACACACACATGAATTTGATGAAATAATTTTTTAACAAACAATATTTAACAAACATTTGAAAGCCTTCCCATTAATCTTTTTTGGACAGAATGGCAAAGAAGTACAATATGAAGCTAATTTACAAAAAAACGTTTCGGGAATTCTATGAAGAAAAGATTAAGAACAATGAAAACAAAATGCTCTTGAAACGCATGCAAGCCCTGGAGGTAAGTATACAGAAAAGGTATAGAGATTCTAGGATGTGAATTTTGGTAGTTCGGGCTCATTTTTCAAGGTTCTTCTAAAATTGTGTAGGTAGGTGTATTGTGCAATTTATTGTTGCTGTAGATACTCTACCTTCAAGGACAGAGGCTGTTAAAGATGGTTATAGTGGATGTTCATTGGATGTTCACTCATTTGGTGAATGAATGAGTGGTACTCTTATAAAATTCTTTAAAATAAGGTTTGTCAATCTCAGAACTATTGTCATTGTGGACTGGAAAAAAATCCTGTTCTGTGCTCTTGGTAGTATATTCAGAACACTCCTGGCCTCTACCTATTAGATGCCTACCTGTAGTACCCATGTCCCTGCTGTGACAGGCATGTTTCCCATTAGGTAAAAATCAAGATCTCCCTATCTAGAACAGGTCTCTATGACTAGGATAGCAGTTTCTGACCCTCCTGGCCAGGGCCTAGGGCAAGCTCATACCAGGGAGAAATTTGTTCTCTGATGACTCTATTAACACTGATAGTTTGTTATATACTGAGACCAAGGCTGCTTGACTCTTGTGTGTCTCCCAGTGTAGCAGTGAGAGACTGCACAGTCATTGCTTGCTTTCCCCTTTCCTTTTATTAAAGAAATGTAAAGTATTCGATGTGCATGTTATTTGTTAAAATCATAGAGTAGTAGGATATAGTCATGCAAAATTTAAGACATTTCATTTCATTTAGAGTATTGTCTTGTTTCTTTAGTTTTTCCTTGCTTTTTGTCTTGTTTGTTATGAGACAAGATCTCATTCTGTATTATTAGCACTTGGCCTGGAATTCACTATATAAACCAGATGGCCTTCAAATTTGTAATTTTCTTACTGCACTTGAATGTTGGACTATAGGTGTGAGGTCCATCAACTTAGAATATTTTAAGTGCTTAAAACCTAGCCTGTCTTCCTTATATTTAACCCAACCCATGAAAGAAGCAAAACAATCACTTTTTTAAAAATGGCAGCTGATATAGTTCAGGGTCACATAGCTGTTAGATAATTCAGCTTTTATGTGTGGCCATCCTCTTGTTGAAGTTTCAACCATGGTTACTCCCCATTGTCAAATGTGAGGATCTTGAAATACTGACTTTTGAATCCTCTAATTAATAAACTGTTCAGCTATACATCCTGTATTTTAGAATTAAGAATGTTTTGTATGCATCTTGTATTTTAAAATTATGAATATTTTTATTGGCTTTGTATTAGGGTAGGAGCTTGGTTTAGTTTGCCCTGAGGTAGAAAAGAAAAGGAGAAGCTGTAATTCCTCACATGTTCATGTCCCTTGGCAAATTGCTCTTCCCTCATGGGCAGTACATGCTCATTTAACCATTGAATCATTGCTCTCTTTGAGGATATAAGCAATGGATTTCTGTAATTGATTTAAAATGTACTTAAGCAGATACAAGAGAGCAAGGATCTCTCTCTCTCTCTCTCTCTCTCTCTCTCTCTCTCTCTCTCTTTTTTTGGTAAGACTATTGTATAGGCCTTGAGTCCAGTCCAGTGTAAGAGTAGGTAGTATATGTAGGTTTTCAAAGTGCAATGAGTATACAGAAAGGAAGGCAGCAAGAATGTAGACAGAAACATGAGAAAACAGATGTTTGGAGTGCTGTTACTAATAACTTCTTGTCTTAAGCACACTGCTTTTCTCAGTCTACCTTCTTCATCCTGCCCTTGATATGACCCTGGCTGTCTGGGAGCGTAAGGACAGATAACCTGTTGTTTGGAAAAGTGTTTTTGGTTCTTTATTTCTTGACCATTGTGTGGGAAATAAGATTCTGGGACACAATATAGTCTGATTGATGTTTATTCGGGAAGAAATGACTTACATCAGAAACAGATAACTGCTGTGGGTTCTTGTTCCAAGAATGCCCCTGGTGCTCTCTGTCTCTGACCAGGAAGTAAGAGAGAGAGCTAGGGTCCGCGACCCCAGACCTAGACCCCACAGGTCATGTTGGCACCTGTCCCCAAGCCCAAATGGACATGGTCAGTGCAACAGGTGCAGGCAGGGTAGATATCCTACTACCCTTGACTAAACTCCTCCTGTGGCCCTATGAAGGTCATTGAGACCAAGGGTAGAAACAGTGATCATGCTCTTGGTGCTTTAATCCAAACCAGAGTATTTAAGGGGTTCTTGATATTTGCAAAAAGTCAGACTTCCAGCACCAGCCCTTTATAGCTTTCCATAGTCCTCAGAGGAGGAAGGACAGCTGGGAAGCTAAGGGCCAAGACACTAGGATCACAAGTCTGGTGTCTACCTTCTGTTTTCACTGAGGACTTTCTTGAGAGGCATTTCTGGAAGATTTACTCCCTTGAGAAGTACTAGCTTACATATATTCTGTAAGGTTTGTTGTTGCTGTTGGGGACAGCAGTTTGTAGTTCTTACCATTTATTTAGTCCTGTAAAGGAGGAGGTATCTGCAGATATGCAAACTAACTCGCTGTAGAGCTGGTAACTAGTATGTTGACTGGATTACAACAAAGTGAGAGCCATTCAAAATAAAGTCCTGAAGCTTTATAATACAGTAACACTAAAGTTAAGAAATTGAAACTCGGAGTAAACTTTTACCATTGCTTTTGTTAAGATTGGATAAAAAGTAAAGCTGTGAATGCTAAGAATATACATGTACCACAGAGCCAAAATGATTGCATAAAAGGTCTTGTTACGTAGTCTAGGCTGTCCTCTTGTATCCCATGAACACTGGGATCATAGTTACGTGTTACCAGGTACAGCAACCCGTTGTACTCAAAGCAGCAAATAAACAGCTTTATGTCCAATACCGGAATATGCAGTACGATATTTATAAAGAAAAAGGAAAGGGGGCTATGAGGTGCCTCAGTTGGAAGACTTGAATTAGAGCCCATTATCTATAAAATAGCTGGGCAGCTGCTGGTGTTTGTAAGGGCAGAGATGACTTGACCACCGAGCTCCAGAACTGTGAGAGACCTGTCTCAAAAACTAAGGTGGATGATCCATCCAAGGTCTACACCTACACATACCCTAAAAAAAAGGGGGGGGGGATGGGGAGTAAAGTAGAAATTTGAGAATCGTCGCCTTGAAAGTTTCTTAGGAAAAGCTAGGTTTTAAAGTGGCTACATCCAGCTCAGGTTCTTAGAATATTAAAGATAAAAGATTTGTAGTATATGGTATATTGATTAAAATGAATTAAGCAGCACTGGTAATTTAGAATACTACCTTTTTTCAACAATTTTTAGATTATAACAGAAAAAGCCCTTTGCCAGAAGTCAAGATGTAAATGTTTTCTGCTAAATGACCCTTTTTGAGGATTAAATTTTGTAGTTCTTCCAAGCTGTAAATAGTCTAAAGTTATGATAGAAGTTGACCAACATTTTGGAGATGACTCCCTCCCCTGCGTTTTTCTCTTATGTGAAAACTGTATAGGGCCTGGAGAAGTGGTTCAGCAGTTCAGAGCACTTGCTGCTCTTGCAGAGCACTTGAGTTTGATTCACCAGCACCCAGATGAGGGGGCTCACAACCATCTGTAACTCCAGCCTCAGGGGATCCGCAAGGGCCTCTAGTCACTATGGGTACTGACACACCTATGCCTGCTTCTTTAAAAGAAAAGAAGTATGTGTAGTAATGAAGCAATACTTAAGGATTATTCTTACAATTTCAGTGGTTTACTCTGTCATTCTGTTGTAAGTGTAGTGAGATCTCTTAACTAGGCTTTTATGTTTGCTTCCTTAGCCATACCCTGCAAATGAGAACTCTAGACTTGCCTCTGAAAAGGTTGGTGACTATGCACATGCAGCAGAGTACATGAAGAACAGTCAAGTGAGATTACCTCTGGTAAGTTTCCAGCGTTCACAGGAGAAAAAGGAGCATACGTGTGTGGAGACTGAGGTCATTTCAGTTGTTCACAGTGTTTGGGCTTTACTTAAGGGTTACAAATGCCCCCTGTAAGTTGTGATAACTTTGATGCTATAGAACATAAAATATATTTCAGTGAGTAGCAGAGAGAGGTTTTATAGGACAGTTAAGGGTAGAGAAAAATCATAGGCTTGGTTTGCAAGATTCCTTGCTAACTCAGTGTTCGAGAGACAAAATTCCAAGCTCTGGACATAGAGGAGAATAGTATATTTTCATTTGTATTGACTTTATACAGGCTAACACTTTTAAAAATATTAGTATGTAGTGATAAGACAAGCCATAAAAGTCCCTGTGAAAACTGCAGACATTTTCATAGCACGTTTCTCTTGTAATTTCATTAAACTTACTAGGTCTTAAACTGACCATAGATCTTATGAAGATCTTATGAAGTCAATGGCCTGTGCAATGCTGCACATTGAATTTCATTTATTTATTTATTTATTTATTTATTTATTTTTGGCAGATGCAATTTATTTTATAATGCATACTTTGTGGTTCTTTAGGTAAAACACAATGTTTTACCATGTTTAAGTTCTAGGTTTGAGGTAGATGTTTGTTTCAGTTATTGCCACCCCTCCAACAACTCAGCAGTGAGATTGACTTCCTATATAGAAATTCACATTTTCTTGCTAAAACATTTGCTACTTCCCAATACCATGAACAGTGAATAGATATAGACTGAGGCTATGTCTTTAATTTTTTTTTCCAGAAAGTTACTTACTGATTGTTTCTAGATGTATATATCATGTTATGTGCGTTGTACATGTTTTTATGGTGAAATGGGATTTACAAAATAAGCTTGTGTTTACTTCTGCGATGACTCTAAAATTTCTTTCCTTTTATTATTTTAGGGAACCTTAAGTAAGTCAGAATGGGAAGCTACAAGTGAGTATGTCATGTCATCCAGCTAATGACAGTGTCAGCCATTCTGTTTTAAGGGAGTCATTGAAACAAACTATATCAGGAAAAACTCTGACATTTTAGGGAGCATGTTTGGAAGCAAGTGTTACATAGTTACATTCTGCCATGAGACTGGTGTCTTCAGAGGATATCCCACAGTACTGGCAGATGTATAAAGTCTTGGGCTTCAGCAGGAGAGTGAGGTAGAGGATTTGAGCTTGCAGATCCTTAATGTTGAGATAAAAAGATCCTAATCTTTTACAGAAATGCCTTGGGTTCTTGAGCACAGTTCCTGCTGTCCATTTAAATGTTTGTTGATTACGTTGAAGGCAAAAGTAGTAATCAGAGAAACACTATTTAGTAAACATTGAATGTTGACTTATAGAATTAAATGAAAGGACTTCAAGGGACTTCTAGAGTTTAGTGGAAGAAACAATCACAAATACTGCTAGGCAATTTAAATGCTAAAGAGGGAAAGGTAGATGGAGAGTTTAAAGGTAGATCTTAAAACTCTTAAAAGTAGTAATATTAGTATTAAGTGTTCAGTAGTATCTAGTGCTGCTGTGACCATGTCATCTGTTGTAATTCACTTATCCCCACAAACATGAGTTGACTATATGTCATCACAGGAAAATGGAGTTTAATGTTGGGCTAAGTGGCAGAACTAATCTAGTTGACCAGGTTCCCATTTTCTCAATCATAACCTCATAGAAAGAAGTCTTTACTATGAGCAAGACTTCCTGAAATTTTGAGTTTCAAATTGTGTACCTGAAATCAGATTCTAGTGTTCTTGATGGTGGTAAATGGCTAAGTAGATTTTTGTTTTGAAATGCACTTAAATGATTCTTCATTTACCCTCAAGCCACTCAAACAATAGAACTCAGAAAATGTATGATGGTTTTCTTTCTCAGTCTGTTTGAGAACGTTTTCCATGATGATATGAATAACAAATCTCTGACTACTTCTCTTATTTTCTTCGTTAGGTATCTACTTGGTTTTTGCCTTTGAGAAGCAGCAGTGAGCACTTAATTGTCTCAGAGCGCACTCCATCCTTACAGATGTCACAAACCATCTCAGATACATTTGACAGCTGTTTGTTTATTTTAATAGTAAGTTCTAAATGTGTAGGATGCTGCCAAAAAGTCCAGTGTAAAAATTTGACATTTACTGTCTATGTCAGGTTAGCTTTGTTCTCTCTTTCTCTCTCTCTCTCTCTCTCTCTCTCTCCCTCTCTCTCTCTCTCTTTCTCTTTGTGTGTGTGTGTGTGTGTTTACGATCTATTTTTAAGTAATATTTTAAGAATTGTTTCCCTCTACTGTCAAAACTATAACAAAGCATGTCAGAGCAACTGACATCTCCACAGTGCTGTGATTTGCTGAGTGTTTACAGAGTTGACTTTACAGCAATTGTAGAATTAACAGAGGAGTGCTAGTTTGCCACCATGCACTTGAAGTTTTGTTACAGTGTTTTTCAATATTAAATGGATTGTGTTCTATACATTTGAATGTAAGTGTTCAATATATATTGCTAAAGGTAAAAGATTGAAATCTGATTTTAGGTTTTCATAAGAGCTACCTGGCTAAATTTTGACTGTTTGAATAAAATAACTATTTGCTAATACAATGAAATTTTGAGACTATAGAAAATTTTCGATGGCAGCATAGAGATATTTTGGAATGGTTTGGTAATCTGTGAAGAATTTCCTACCATAGCAATTAATATGTCCAACTATTGAAATTAATTAAGGTACTTTCAACTTTCTTCATTGGACAGTGATTCCATGGTTAGATTTTCTTACGATTTTGTGAAAATGCCATGTCATAATCCTGTTACTTATTGTCTTAAAATGTGTATATGCAAGTGCAGCAGCAGTAGGTAGCGCAGTAAGAAAAGCAGGTAGATTCCTCACCAATAAGAGATGTCAGTTACTAATGCTGTGTCCTTCCAGTCAAATAGGGACCCCTGCTCCCCTCTTCCGCATTGCTACCTCACACAGAAGAACCCACTGTTCAGTTGTCATTCAAACATGCACTGTTGAGGTTAATGGTATACAGGTTGGCATGGCTGCCTTCCAAATATTTACTTGCTGTCTCACAACCATTAAAATAGTCATTAAAATTGTCAATTATAGAATTGGCTTCAAGAGCTGATATCTGTGTGAACTGCTGTCTTACATTTAAGAAACTTGATAGCCTTTAGGTACATCAGGAAACTTGAGAGCAGTACCATTATATATTCTTTTAAAAGTCATTTATTTAAAGGACAATTTACAAAGATCTTGCTTTGTATAAAAATCTGTAGTACTTACTTTAAAAGTAGCCTTGGGGATGGAGAGATGGCTCAGCAGTTGAGTGCTGGCTACTCTTACAGAAGACCTAGGTTCAATTGCCAGCACCCACATGGCAGCTTATACCTGTCTGTAACTCCAGTTTCTGAGGCTCTGACACCATCTTCTGGTCTCCATGGGCACCAGGCATGCACATAGTGCATATACATACATACAGGCAAAATACTCATACATACAAAATAAGAATAATTGTTAGTAAATTAAAAGCATACTCAGATTATATATTGTCACTACTCATAGTATTAGAGTGTAGCTTTGGTGCAGGGTTTGGGCTGTGGGGATGAAAGTTCTTGTCTTAGAAATTCAGGCTCATTTTATTCCCAGGGAAGGTACTACTAAGTATTCCTGAGGATGGTTTGGCAGGTAGGGTAAGCTTTGTTACAACTCTTGATCTTAGTTAATAGGTAATGCATCAATTTTTAGTCTTTTTCTGTCCTTTTCATTCTATCCTATGGGTTGTTTTAGAGAGAATAATTCCTCAAAGGGTGGAGGATAGTTATTCCAAGCAATGAGAAGAGAAATGTGGAGTTCCAAGACCCTTTGCTGAGGAATCATAGAGAACTGGACTGGGTCTGAGATAGACTCTAGTCCTTACACCTACTGTCATAGACATAGGAGAGTTCCCATGAGACCACCTTACAGTACTTGTACCTGATAAGAAAGGCATGGGTTTTCATTACAGGATCCAGGAAGAACCCCTTATTTTGGGTTCAACAATGAGAATGAGTCAGAGGAGATGTGTGGACACTCCCAGACCTGCCACATAGGGTACCCTCCAAGGTTGAGTTTCAAAATGAACATCAGGGACTGGAGACATAGCTCAGAGGTTAAGAGTTGTGCTGCTCTTTCAGAGACTAGAGTTTGGTTCCTAACACGTATATCAGGTGGCTCAAAACTGCTTGTAGTTCCAGCTGCAGGGACTTGATTACTTTCTTCTGGGTTCTGCTGGCATGTGCACACAGGCACAAACATGCATAAATCTTTAGAAATGAAGATCACCTGGGCCATTTGTGAGAATGTCACAACTTGAATTGGAGAAAGTTCTTGGGGACAAATCTGTATTGTAGTAGAACCTAAAATGCTGACATGAAATTATTTGGGTCTAGAACTTACTCAGGGAAACACTCCAGTGTATACAGTGCTGATGAAGAGAAACTAAGGAGTTTGTCAGTCCCTACCAATCTTTTTAGGGTCCTGACCTGTACAGCGCCTCAAGCCTGCTGGAGCTGACCCACACACCACTTCAGTTCTCCTGAGCACCTCACAGACTGCCTCTCATCTGTAAGAGAAGGTTATGACTGACTAGAGTCACCCAACAATGATGGACCTGTATGATGGCTGAATGGCACAGAGAGAATAGAAATTTTCTCAAGACCAAAGGAACAAAACATTTCCAGTCTATGATAGGCCTAGACTCCTATTCTCACATACTTCTGAGGGTGGAACAGGCGAGTCCTACAGCCTGAGCTCTTAGTTATCGAGGCACCTTAACTTAGATATATTAATTCCTGAGTAAGGTGATCCAATAAATAGGGTGCCCTGGTAGGAAACAGAACTAGACAAGGTACTCTTCATGGTGTGGTGACCTGGTCCTCTAACCAGGCTTGTGGGATCTGCACACTGCATGTGATAGTGTCCTCCTAAACTTACTGTGTGGATGTATCAGTGTAAGAGAGTCTCTAAGATACAGAAATTCTGCTTTTGTGTGAGTATAGGCAGGCCTCATTTTGTGGATTTGCTTGTTTAAACTCTGTTCAAAGTTATATCTATACAAGCAGTCAGATTTCTCACAGACAAAACATATGTGAATTCATAAGCCAGGAGTTGGAGATGTCTTTGTACTCACTACTGTCCCATCCACAACAACCATCCAATTCTTAGCAAAAATCTGGTTTCATCTGGCTTGAAATATTATGTGACTGAAATTAAAAATACACTCTTTGGCTTTCACTTGTCAGTGTTCATGAGATTCTCATGATTGTACAGTATTTCATTGTGTGAATAAACAATATTATCCAATGGTGTTTTGGTTTATTTCTAGCTTGAGAACTGTACTGACACAGAACTCCCTCCTCTTCCCCCCAAAACTTTTTATTATTTTTCTTATTTTACATATGGATCCCAGTTCCCTCTCCGTCCCTCCCTCTCTTCCACCCTTCCATGTCTCCTGATCACCCTCCCACCCAACCCCCACCCACCCACCCCCAGTCCATATGTAGGGTGATGATTTCTTGGAGGGGTCATCTAAATCTGTCAAGTCATTTGGAGTAGGGACTACTCCCTCCTGCCTCAAGGTTTGGAGCATCCCTTCATGGGGAATGTGCTCCTTTTGTGCACCAGGGATACCAGAACTGAGACCCATGTTCAGGGGGTCTCAGTCGGTCCAATGCTGGATTCCCAGCTATCAGTCTGGGGGCCCATTAGCTCCTTGTTCAGGTCGACTGACTCTGTAGGTTTCTGTAGCCTGGTCTTGTCCTCCCTCTCTGCATCTGGATTCCAGATTGGCTCTGTTTAGCTGTGGGTATCTGCTTCTGTTTCTATCAGCTACTAGATGAGGGTTCTATGATGGTAGATAAGTTACTCATCAATCTCATTATCAGGGAAGGGCATTTATGGTAGCCTTTCCACTGTTGATCAAGTTGTTAGTTGGAGTCAGTCTTGCAGGTCTCTGGACATTTCTCTAGAGTCAGTTTTCTCTTCAAACCTATAGTGGCTCCTTCCTTTATGGCATCTCTCTCTCTCTCTTTCTCTCTCTCTCTCTGTCTCGTCTATTCCTCCCCTCCCTAGTCCCACGTGCTTTCTTCTCCCCTTCTCTTTCTCCTAGCCCCTTCTCCACTTACTGACCTCTCACTCCCAATGTACTCAGGAGATCTTGTTCCTTTCCCCTTCTGTGAGGGACCTTATATGAATACTTAGATTCCTCCTTGTATCCCGGTTTTCTCTGCCTGTGTGAATTATAGGCTGTTGATCCTTTGCTCTGTGTCTAAAATCCACATGATTGAGTACATACCATGTTCCTCTTTTTGTGACTGGGTTACCTCATTCAGGATGGTTTCTTCAAGTTCTATCCATTTGCCTGCAAATTTCAAACTTCCATTGTTTTTTTCCATTGTGTAAATGTGCCACATCTTCTTTATCCATTTTCAGTTGAGGGGCATCTAGGTTGCTTCCAGGTTTTTGCTATTACAAATAATGCTGCTACGAACATAGTTGAACAGATGTCTTTGTTGCATGGATGTGGATCATTTGGGTATGTGCCTAAGAGGGGGATTGCCGGGTCCTGAGGAAGACTGATTCCCATTTTCCTGAGGAACTGCCATATTGATACCAAAATGGCTGTACAAGTTTGCACTCCCACCAGCAGTGGAGGAGTGTTCCCCTTTCTCCACATCCTCTCCAGCATAAGTTGTCATTGGTGTTCCTAATTTTAGCCATTCTGGCAGGAGTAAGATGGTATCAGAGTTGTTTTGGTTTGCATTTCCCTGGTAGCTAAGGATGATGAACACTTAAGTGTCTTTCAGCCCTTTTGATTTCCTCTATTGAGAATTCGCTCTTTATTTCTGTACCCCATTTTTTGTAACAGGGTTATTTGGTGTTTTGGTGACTAGAATCTTGAGTTCTTTGTATATTTTGGAGATCAGCCCTCTGTTAGATGTAGGATTGGTGAAGATCTTTTCCCAGTCTGTGGGCTTCTGTTTGGTCTTGTCAACTGTGTCCTTTGCCTTACAAAAGCTTCTCAGTTTGAGGAGGTCCCATTTATTAATTGTTGATAGCAGTGTCTGTGCTACTGGAGTTATGTTCAGGAAGCACTCTACTGTACCAATTTGTTCAAGGGTACCTCCCACTTTCTCTTCTAAGAGATTCAGTGTGGCTGGATTTATGGTGAGCTCCTTGATCCATTTGGACTTGAGTTTTGTGCATGGCGATAGACATGGGTCTATCTGCAGTCTTCTATACACTATCATCCAGTTGTGCCAGCACCATTTGTTGAAGATGCTTTCCTCCTCCCATTGTATACTTTTAGCTATTTTGTCAAAAATGAGGTGTTCGTAGGTGTGTGGGTTTATATCAGGATTTTTGATTCGATTTCATTGGTCTACCTGTCTATTTTTGAGCCAATACCAGGCTGTTTAAAGGACTATAGCTCAACAGTAGAGCTTGAAGTCGGGGATGGTGATGCCTCCTGAAGTTCCTTTATTGTGCAGTGTTGTTTTGCCTATCCTGGGTCTTTTGTTTTTCCATATAAAGTTGATTATTATCCTTTCAAGGTCAGTGAAGAATTGTGCTGGTATTTTTATGGGGATTGCATTGAATCTGTAGATTGCTTTTGGTAAGATTGCCATTTTTACTATGTTTATCCTACCTATCCAAGAGCATGGGAGATCTTTCCATTTTCTGTTATCTTTAATTTCTTTCTTTAAAGACACAAAGTCCTTGCTATATAGGTCTTTCATTTGTTTGGTAAGTGTTACCCCAAGATACTTTATATTGTTTGTGGCTATTATAAAGGGTGATGTTTCTCTGATTTCTTTCTCAGCCCCTTTGTCATCTGAATAAAGTAGGGCTACTGATTTTTTTTTTTTTTTTTTTTTTTTTTAGTTGTATCCTGCTAGTTTGCTGAAGATGTTTATCAGCTGTAGGAGTTCCCTGGTAGAGTTTATTGGTTTATTGTGTCGCTTATGGGTCAAATAGAGCCAGTTTGACTTCTTCCTTTCCAATTTGGATCCCTTTGATCTCCTTTTGTCTTATAGCTTTAGCTAGAACTTCAAGTACGATATTGAGGAGATATGGAGAGGGCAGCCTTTCTCTTGGTCCTGATCGCCTTAAGTTTCTCTCCATTCAGTTTGATGTTGGCTGTTGGTTACTGTATATTGCTTTTATTATGTTTAGGTATGTTCCTGTTATCCCTGATTTCTCCAAGACCTTTATCATGAAAGGGTGTTGAATTTTGTCAAAGGCTTTTTCAGTATCTAGTAAGATGATCATGTGGTTTTTCTTTTTCAGTTTGTTTATATGATGGATCACATTGTTAGATTTTCATATGTTGAACCATCCCTGCAACCCAGGGATGAACCCTACTTGGTCATGGTGGATGATTTCTCTGATGTGTTCTTAGATTCAATTTGCCAGTATTTTAGAGTATTTTTGCATCAATGTCCATGAGGGATATTGGTCTGTAGTTCTCTTTCTTAATTATATATTTGTGTGGCTTGGGTACCAAGGTAATTGTACCAAGTTTGGTAATGAACCTTGTGCTTCTATTGTGTGGAACAATTTGAGGAGTATTGGTATTAGTTCTTCTTTGAATTTCTGGTAGAATTCTGCACTGAAGCCATCTGGCCCTGGCCTTTTTTTTTTTTTTTTTTTTTTTTTTTTGGGAGACTTTTGATGACTGCCTCTATTTTATTAGGGTTTATAGGTCTATTTAAGTTGTTTACCTGTTCTTGATTTAATTTTGGTAAGTGATAATTATCCAGAAGTTTGTCCATTTCCTTTGAATTTTCAAATTTTGTGGAGTACAGGTTTTCAAAGTATGACCTGAAAATTATTGGATTTCCTCAGTGTCCATTGTTATGTGCCCCTTCTCGTTTCAAATTTTGTTAATTTGCATGTTCTCTCTCTGCTTTTTGGTTAGTTTGGATAAAGGTTTGTCTAACTTGTTGATTTTCTGGTTTGTACTTTATTGATTTCAGCCCTCAAATTGATTATTTCCTGGCATCTACTCCTCTGGGGTGAGTTTGCTTCTTTTTGTTCTAAGGCTTTCAGTTGTGCTGTTCTCTTATGTGACTATCCTCCGTTTTCCTCAATAGGACACATAGTGCAATGAACTTCCCTCGTAGCACTGCTTTCAGGGTGTCTCATAAGTTGTTGTGTCCTCATTCTTGTTGAATTTTAGGAAGTCCTTAATTTCTTTCTTTATTTCTTCTTTGACCCAGGTATGGTGCAATTGCACATTGTTCAGTTTCCATGAGTTTGTAGGGTTTCTGCGATTTGTGTTGTTGAATTCCAACTTTAAAGCATGCCAGTCTGATAAGATACAGGGGACTATTCCAATATTTTTGTATCTGTTGAGGTTTGTTATGTGGAGAGAGAAGAAGGAATATTCTTTTGTGTTTGGTTGGAATGTTCTATAGATGTCTGTTAAACTCACTTGGGACATAACTTCTGTTAGTTCTTTTGTTTCTTTGTTAAGTTTCTGTCTGGTTGTCCTGTCTAGTGGTGAGAGTGGGGTGTTGACGTCTCCCACTATGAGTGTGTGAGGTTTTATTTGAGCTTTGAGTTCTAGTAGTGTTTCTGTTATGAATGTGGGTGCCTTGTAGTTTGTGTTGATGGATTTCTCCTGTGATGAATACGAAATGACTGTCTTCATCTCTTTTGATTGTTTTTGGTTTGAAATCTAACTTGTTAGGATAGCTACACCTGCTTGCTTCTTGGGTCTGTTTGATTTGAAGATCTATTCCCAACCCTTTGCCCTGAGGTAATATCTGTCTTTGGAGCTTAGATGTGTTTCTTGTATGCAGCAGAAGGATGGTTTCTGTCTTCATATCCATTTTGTTAGCCTGTGTCTTTTTATAGGCGAGTTAAGACCATTAACGTTAAGGGAAAGTAAGGACCATTGATTGTTAATGCTTGTTTGTTTTAGATTTGTTGGTGGTGATATTGTGAATATATTTGCCCTGCTTTACCCTTGGGTTCTGGCTAAGTGGGATTATCTATTGCCTATGTTTTCATGAGTGTAGTTAAATTCCCTGGGTTGGAGTTTTCCTTCCAGAACTTTCTGTAGGGCTGGATTTGTAGATAGGTATTGTGAAAATCTGGCTTTGTCATTAAATATCTTGTTTTCTCCATCTATAGTGATTGAGAGTTTTGCTGGGTATAGTAGCCTGGGCTGGCATCCGTGGTCTCTTAGTACTTGTAGAACTAAGATAGATATCCAGGACCTTCTGGCCTTGAGAGTTTCCATGGAGAAGTCAGGTGTAATATTAATAGGTCTGCCTTTATATGTTACCTGTCCTTTTTCCTTCACTGCTCTTAATATTCTTTCTTTATTCCGTGTGTTAGGTGTTTTGATTATTATGTGTCCAGGGTTCTTTTTTTTTTTTTTTTTTTTTTTTTTCTTTTATCCAGTCTGTTTGGTGTTCGTTATGCTTCTTGTTCTTCATGGGCATGTCCTTCTTCAGATTGGGAAAGTTCCTCAATGATTTTGTTAAATATGTTTTCTGCACCTTTGAGCTGGGCTTCTTCACCATCTTCTTCTATCCCTATTATTCTTAGGTTTGGCCTTTTCACAGTGTCCCACATTTCTTGGATGTTTTGTGTTAAGGATTTGTTGGACTTAAGATTTTCTTTGGTCGATGAATCTATTTCCTCTAGTTTATCTAAAGCACCTGAGATTCTCTCTTCCATCTCTTGATTCTGTTGGTTATGCTTATGTCTGTAGTTCCCAATCTTTGTCCAGTTTTTCTATTTCCAGCATTCCTTCAGTTTGTGTTGTCTTTATTGTCTCTATTTCAGTTTTCAAGTCTTGAACTGTTTCCTTCACCTGTTTAATTGTTTTTCCTTGGCTTTCCTTAGTTTCTTTAAGAGATTTGTTCATTTCTTCCAATTTTTTGTTTGTTTTTTATTCCATTTCTTTAAGGGATTTTCTCACATCGTCTTTGAGGGCTTCTATCCTTTTTATGAAGATATTTTTTAAGTCCTTATCTGTTTCATCTGCTTCAGTGTGTTCAGGTCTAGTTGGTGTAGATTCCTTAGATTCTGGTGGTGTCATGCTTGTCTTTCTATTGTTATGAGTTATTTTTGGATTGCCTTCTTCCCATCACTTCTTCCACTGGGTGCAGGTGGGGTCTCTCTCTATGCTACTCCCCCGCTGGGCTTAGGTGGGTCAGAAGTTTGATGTCTGTAGCTCTGGGTGCTCCAAGCCCTGCAGGAAATCTTTCCTCAGGCAGGGGCCCTGTGATGAGGGTTAAAGATCAGGAAGGTGGGGACTCGGGGTGGTATGTGGATAGGCGTGTCTGATGTGCTCAGAGCAGATCCAGGAAGTTCCCCAGAGGTGGTGGGATTATTGGACCCACCTTCCCATCCAGTGCTCAACCAGAGCAGTGGGGCAGTGGGCTAGGTAGGGCACAGGGTGGAGGGAGGGCAGGTTCTGGGTGGAGGGGTTTGTGCATCAGAGTACTAGGAGTATTCTCGCTAAGGATAGGATATGGGGGGAGTGAGATACGGGGCTAACCCAGGGAATTCCCAGGGAAGGTTGTAGGGGGGTTTGACCTGAACTGGTACTGAAAGACCCGCGAGCATGGAACCTCATGCCCCAACTCAGGAAAGGCGCCTCCCTCCAAATCACTCACAAGAAGCGGTCTTGATGTAAAAGCATGAGGTCTTTTATATTCCAAGTGCACTGGGGTCCACAGTCATGTGCCAGCAGGGGTAGAGGACTGAGGACCACGAGTACAGAATTGAGGCAGTTTTTATAGGGTTACAACAAAGCCCGTGCGCATCGTAAACCAATCATCTCATAGCATCCAGAGCTCATGCGGTGTGGACCAATTAATTTAAACCATCCAAGCCGCGCTTTATAGACCAATCAGTTTTCTATAGCCCCGTGTGCGGGCTCCTGGGTGGGGTGACAAAGCTCATTTCCTGTACTCATGTACTCACAGGCCCTCTTGTAAACAGCAAAGAATGTGACCTTTTGCCTATTTACTGGCTGAGGGCAGGGTCTGGAATTTAAGGTTTAAACTTCTAGCTTCCTGGGGTCATTGGAGAGTTAGGCTGTATTTTCCATCCTTTCATTCCCCACTTCTTTTCTTGTTAATAGTTCTAATCTTAGAACTGGGAGGACTAAAGGGCAGCCTCTTTGCCCAGAAGGCTCTTGTAGTGTTGTCTAAGTACCATGATCTGGACCGCACTCGCTAGCTCCCTAACAAAAGTAATAATTTTTCTAACAGTGGGAGGCTGTTCCCAGTTCTTATAACCTTGAGTGGCGTGGGGATGGGTCCAGGGGAATAGGACATGTTCTGGAATGGCCACAAAGTGGGCCTTTTCACCGAGATGTGCAGTGACATCTAACGTAGACTGAATCTCCAACTTGGAAGTGATGTGGAACTTCAGAGTCTCCTTCCATCGAGTAGGCCTCCCAGAGCTGCTTCCCTCGCTGTCTCACCCAATGAGCACCTTAAGCCTAGCAAACAGGCAGGGAAAACAGCACATCAGCACCATGCACAGAGGCAGTTTTCACCAGTGGAGGCCTCTCCCCACATAGAGCAATTCATAGGGGGTCAGCCCAAATGGTCCAGGGGTGTTTCTAACCATGAAAAGCACAAAGGGTAAGAGAGCTATCCAATCATTAACACCAGTCTCTGCGGTCAATTTAGTGAAGGTCTCTTTAATGGTTTTATCCTTTTTACCTGAACTTTGGGGTCTGCATGTACAATGTAATTTCCAATCAACCCCCAACGTCTTGGCCAGTTACTGACTTACCTGGGCAACAAAACCTGGACCATTGTCTGATCTTACTACCTTAGGCATTTTAAATCTTTGGAAATTTTTCTTCAGTAATTTTTAGCCACCACGGTTGAGGCAGCCCCTTTTGTTTATAGATAGCCCCTTGTACATGTGCAGTTGCAAAAACATACCTGCTGCCCGTGTAATGTTTACAGACTTCTCTTCGGCTAGCCGCAAGGCTTGCATAAGGGCCACGAGCTCAGCTTTTTGTGCTGAGGTTCCTTCCAGCAAGCTGCTGGCCCAGATGGTGCAGGTTCTGTCCACCATCGCTGCCCCAGCCATTCTCTTTACCTTTTACAATGTAACTGTTCCCATCGGTGAAACAGGTCAATGTCTCCCCGGCCAGCGGGATGTCCGTAAGATCTTTGTGAACTCCAGTCTCTTTAACCAACAGTTGATGGCAGTCATAAGTCACTGGTTCAGTCTCCTCAGGCACAAGAGCGGTGGGATGATGGTGGATGGTGGAGCGAACACAGTTCTCTCAGTGAGAAGCAGGCTTTGGTGGTGAGTCATGGGGGCACTGGTCCACATACTGGAGGAGGGTCACCTGGGAGTGTTGGATCCTGAAGCTGGCCAGATCTTTATGAAGGGCCTCATCAAAGATGGTCAGGGAGTTTTAAACCCGTGGGGAAGTTGGGTCCAGATGAGCTGCCCAGTTCTGCACGTGTCAGGGTCCTTCCATTCAAAGGCAAAAAGCTGTTGGCTGGTGGAATGTAACCTTGAACGAGTGTGATACCTGGCCTACGCCAAGGTCTGTTCTTCGGGTAGTCCATGAATACTGCCATTGCCCTATGGCACCTATTTTAACTGGTCTCCCCTCCACTTTCAAAGATCCTAAAGAATCTGGATCTGGAAAAAAACAGCAAAGTGGCAGGATACAAAATTAACATAGCAAAACCAGCAGGCTTCCTGTATACCAGTAGCAAACATACAAAGAAATCTGGGAAACAATCCCATTCACAACAGACTTTAAAACAAAAAACCCTCAAAATATACCTAAATAAACAAAGAAGTAAAAGACCCATGTATTAAAACATTTGAAACGCTGACGAAAAAAGTTTAAGATGCTAGAAGATGGAAGGACCTCACATGCTCATGGTTCAGCATGGCTACAATGTCAAGATCAATGTACAGAGTTATTGAAATTCTCATCAAATTTCAATAATGTACCTCAAAGAAAGTTAAAAAAAAAAATCGTCGAAGTACAGAGACCTTGGCTAGTCAAAGTGATCCTGAGCAAAAAGGAACAATTCTGGAAGTATTGCCGTGCCTGGTTTGAAGTTATAATAAAGTCAAACTCAGCAGCTTCTTGCAGGAATCATGCCTGGTAGCAATGAAATGCTCCTTACAGAGGCTGTGGCATGACAGATAAAACACAGGGCTCCTCAGCTGGGGTGCTGGAGGTCAAATCCCATTAATGCTTCCAGAGTTAGAAACTTGCTGTATAACCTGTTTGGTTAGGTGTCTCTCCCTTCCTCCCTCCCCTCTCAGTGTGTGTGTGTGTGTGTGTGTGTGTGTGTGTGTGTGTGATTAAAGCAAGTCACTTGCTCAAGTTTTGGGGGAAGAAAGAAAGAAAGAAAGGAAAAAAGATTAAGAAAACCACCATACAGCACAAAGATCAAAACCACCATACCTGCTGGCCCAGATAACTGGCTTTTAGGAAGACTCCACTTTCAGCACTTTATTGCAGAGCCAACATTGTTTGCAGATCCCTCTGTTCTTGAAGATGGGGATTCGGTGGGTAATACTTATGCTTGTGAGGTGTTTTCTGCCAATCTCTTTTCAATGTACACAGATTCAGTCTCCAGTTAGGAAACTTCTTCACAGATTACACCATGTCTCTCCCAGTGACAAGATGATGCCCAGTAAGCCTGCATTTCCTAGGTGTCTATGCACCCCCCACTGTCTTTGTGCTGTCTGTCTGTCTGTCTGTCTGTCTGTCTGTCTGTCTCTCTCTCTCTCTGTGTGTGTGTGTGTGTGTGTGTGTGTGTGTGTGTGTGTAGCAGAGTCTCCCAAAGCTCCAGGCTCTGACTTTTCCAGAGAATGAGTAGCAGTGACACTGGTGAGCCACTTTGTCCCACAGACAAACTACAAAGCAGATCAGGTTATTTGAGCTGGGCAGAATTTTAACCAGTGAGTTAGAGGAAGAGAGGCTGAGAGGCAAAGAGAAATCAGGTGGAAAATCCATGCACCACCGAGCTAAATGTTGTGGTGGACCACTAGGTGGCATTGCAAACACGACTCCTAGACTGCCAAGTCGGTGGCACCAAGTTGTAGACCTGAACCCAATAGGTCAGAGAGGCGGCGATCTGGGCGGGCAGAGGCAATTTAAAGGCAGAGAGGTGAGGTGCTAGGTTAGGTAGGGAGGTGACTGCGCTTTGGTGATGGTCCTGCTCTCTTGCTGAGGTCCGCCCAGGTGGACATCAATTGCCCATGCTGAGTGAAGTGTCCAGGGAGGGGGCGCCTGGCCCGGATGCAAGACCAGAGCTGGGTAAACAGACACAATTCTATTTCCCAGAACAGTGACCTTTGCGGGGAGGAGAGCAGAATGGGTGAGCCACCTTGTGCAGGGAGATTCTAAAGCAGTTGGATGTGATGCTTAATGCAACAAGAGAATGGGTCCATGCCTTTGAGGTGTAAATGTATTGCAAGTGACTACAATCCAGTAGCTTTACCTCATTGCTAATACAATGGCTCCCTGGGTGTGACTTGTTCTAACATTTCATAGGTATTTTTTCATACTGTGCTCATGCAGGACATAAAAAAATTAGCAGTAAGATTTAATGAAATTCAGATTTTTCAGAATTTAAGGAAAATATTCATCGAGGGGAAAGTACTGTTGTTTTTCTTTACTTAACATACTGTAAAGCAAGCTTATGTATTTGGAGGCAGTAACTGTGTTTATTCTCGAGCTAAGTGACCATTTTGCTGCAGACTGTTCCACGCTGGAGAGTATGCATTGAGGATTTGAGCAGAGGTTTGGTGAGTAATAAGAACGCAGGTACATCTGCCTTTCTTAAGGGAATGTTTGTCTGTGTGTTCTTCAGAAATCCGGCTCACCTGAGCAAAGTACAATGCAGTAGCTCTGGGAATGTGAAAATCTGGAGACTGGCTGGGACTTTTGGGGAGTTTTGATAGGGTTTCGGGGGATACTCTGAGAGTGAACTTAGGGGGTCAAGAAATCAGTCATGGAAACAGAAACTGTACTTGTCATAGAAATAGAAGCTAGACCTGTAACCTAAGAGTGACAGAATATGAGTAAATGAAAGAAGAGACCCATGAAAACACTAAGCTTGTGTGATAGAGGGACAGAATTCCAGGCACTAGGAACACAAGTCAGAATGAGCAAACCAGGGTCCAGCTTCCAATATGCTGTGTCTATCCACCCATTTTCTTACATGTACTTGATTTTGGCATGGTAGCATGATCTGCATTTTCTGTATACACTTATGCTCTTGAAATCATAATAACACAACAACAAACAAACCTCTCTTACAGTACCTTTGATGCCACGAAGTGGAGGCATTTTCTTCCAGCCATGAACTCCTCGTTTCAACTGCATTTCTTGAATCTTACCCTGAATGTCACGGAGGACAACATTTTAGGACCAAATGGCAAGAACATGTCTTCAGCCTGCGGGGACATGGGCATCGCTGTGGAGGTGTTCCTGACCCTGGGTCTCATCAGCCTCTTAGAGAACATCCTGGTCATTGGGGCCATAGTGAAAAACAAAAACCTGCACTCACCTATGTACTTCTTTGTGGGCAGCTTAGCAGTTGCTGACATGCTGGTGAGCATGTCCAATGCCTGGGAGACCATCACCATATACTTGCTAAATAATAAACATCTGGTGATAGCAGACACCTTTGTGCGTCACATTGACAACGTGTTTGACTCCATGATCTGCATTTCAGTTGTGGCCTCCATGTGCAGTTTGTTGGCCATTGCAGTAGACAGGTACGTCACCATCTTCTACGCCTTGCGCTACCACCATATCATGACAGCAAGGCGATCAGGGGTGATTATCGCATGCATATGGACTTTCTGCATAAGCTGTGGTATTGTTTTCATCATTTACTATGAATCCAAATATGTTATCATTTGCCTCATCTCCATGTTCGTCACCATGCTGTTCTTCATGGTTTCTCTGTATATACACATGTTCCTCTTGGCACGGAACCATGTCAAGCGCATAGCAGCTTCCCCCAGATACAATTCTGTGAGGCAAAGGACCAGCATGAAGGGTGCCATTACCCTCACCATGCTACTGGGGGTTTTCATTGTGTGCTGGTCTCCCTTCTTCCTTCACCTTATCTTAATGATTTCCTGCCCTCAGAACATCTATTGCTCTTGCTTTATGTCTTACTTCAACATGTACCTTATACTCATCATGTGCAATTCTGTGATTGATCCTCTGATATATGCCTTCCGCAGTCAAGAGATGCGGAGGACCTTTAAAGAGATCATTTGTTGTCATGGCTTCAGACTAATTTGTAGGCTCTGTGGCAGGTATTAAACACATTCCCCTCTCTGTGGCTCTCATCTCTTAGTCAATAAGGTTCAGCCAGGGTATAAGAAATGTCTCTAGGAATCTCAAATGTATTATCCTTTATCTCTTCTGCTGCTCAAACATTTTAAAAAGCTGTGTTCATTGTGTATCAAAAGTATGCATATGTGGGTTAGCTCCATCATGGGAATGGTCTGTGACACATATCCTTACATCTTCCTCTACTTCCCATTCCATTTCTAGGCTTTACCACCCTCGACCTGACCTGATAGGTGACCTTATGAGATGCATAATATCCTAGGTGAGTTGTTATTGAAAGAAACACTGTGGAGGTCTATGACACCATGAGTGGCTTTTTTGTTTTGTTTTTCTCATGAAAAGGTGGATGCACCTTTTTGCATTCTTTTGAGGAATAAAGATGCCCAGCTCTTTTCCATTTGAAACTTCCATTTTACTTGCTGTGGGTGTTTCTACAGCTCTCCCATCCTAACTTCTAGTTTATGGTTTATATTTAGAATTGTCTGAGGAACAACCTTAACTCCCTATACTTTTGTCAGTCATAGTTTTTGAACATACTCAGACCTACAGTTCTGTGACACAACCTTGCTCCATGTTCTGTAAAAAATGTCCATGACTCTTTCTCCCTGTCTTATTTTGATTCAATCCAGCATTTCCAAGAAATGTTTTAGGGTCATATCAGGACCTTGGGTACACACCCACACTCACTTCATGTAGCACATGCCCATAGACAAACTAGGTTGGTTTTCTCACACACAGTTTTTCAGCATCTCTTGGTGTCTGAGTCTTTGTCACTATATGCATTTAAGAATCTTTACCTGACTCAAGCACTCATTGAGAGCCTATTCTATAGCAAAGAAATGCCATGTTCTGCAGTCTGGCATGGAGGAAAGGAGCACAAGCTCAGGCACTAACTGCCATTCCCCTGGTTATATGTCCTTAATTTCACTCTAGGTTCCACATCTGTGTTGACCTCCTAGGATGACCAAAAGAATTAGCTGAAAACAATGGGAGAACCTCTTGTAAAATTCTAAAACCACATATTATTGTATTTTTATATAAAAGAACTGATCCACATGGTCTACCAGAAACAAACATAAAGGAAGGATTTAAGTGTTGGTGGCCAGAGCAGTGTTTTGGACACCAAGACATGCTTTGTTCAATGTCCCAGTGTTCTCTCTCATCTGAAGGGGAAAGGTAGGCCCCTAGAGCCTACAGACTCCATTTTGCAGTAGTATCTTGGTTTTAGTATTTTCTCTGTTGGACACTTGGCATCTAGACTGTTTCCAAATGAAAGAGGAAATGTAAGGAAAGCTACAGATATAGAAGTCATCTCACAATGAGCTACTGGTATAAGAGGGACCTCTTCTACAGAAGATTTTAAAGGCAGAGTAACTTTCAAGAATAGTCACATGAATAGCTTGTGGGCATGACTACCTGCTGCTCTAGGAGTTCAGTATAGAAAACAAAAAACAAACAAACAAACAAACAAACAAAAAAACCCAGCAAGTGCATGAGAAGTCCAAAGCTCCACAAAATGGCAGATTGGAAGGTTGTTTACAACTGATTTGAAAAGAGCATCTAGACTTTCAAAATGTTTCCTGCTGGTTCCTATTTGCTGAAAGTTCTCAGGTACATCTATGAGTAGGAAGTAAACATTCTCATTGTAACCATTACAGGAAATAGACGCCATTGTTGCCATGGATGTCATGGGGATGTGGGTTGCATGAAGGTTTCCTCTCATCTGTGCAGAGCAAGCACTTGTACTGTTTGTAATTTCCATGTTGACTCTTCTGCCCAATTAAGCAAGGTGACTAGAGCTACAGTCATAGGGGTAGAATAAGGGGTTGAGCTTTGTAGTTACATTGTTCGTCTGGACACTCAACTCTTATTAGGCTACTTCTCTGCTCTGGGTGATAAATGATTTACTACACCTCCTGGTCTTTATATTAAGGTGTTTAAGAACATGTTCAACTATATTTTAAACTCTATGTAAACAAAATATCCCTGTAGTTATATTTGGGAAAATACATGCATGTAGCAACTTGTTAAGTTTATGCAAATAAGCCAACCTTTGGCACTAAAAATGAAGTTCCCTTAACAGAAAAAAAATACACATACATGTCAAACATATAGTAGTATATGTTAGCTTATATTTCTGTGGGAAGTATATTTGCTGTAAATATGTGTTCAAAGAAATTGTTAGTAAAGTAAAAGGATAAATCAATTAAAATATACTATTAAATATATATAATTAATAAAATAGATGGACTAAATTATATATTTGAATTGGTCATTAAGATATGTGATATTTGGAGTGTTTTTTAATCTTTCTGGAAATTTTCTGGTAGGTATTACAAAATGAGAATGTACATAAATTGGTAAATTTTACTTGAAAGTATTTACAGCCTATAGTATTAACATTCAAAGTTATATTAATCCTACAAATAAAATAAAATTTATACTTGACTATGTTTTGTTGAAAATATGTCTTAGTATATAATTATTCTGGGACTATTACTTATTATGAACTCAGTATGGGGCTGGAAGTTCTGGCTATCAGAGAAGTTCTGCCATGCAAGAGCCAGTGACATGAACTGTGCCAAGACATAACTGTTTCAGGGTATGTGTATACACGCACACAGTTAAAAAAAATACTTTATATAGTTAAATGTAAAGTGCTAACATATGGGCTAGTATATATGTGATAAAAATGTCACCTCTATACCTCTAATGGCACCTCTCCCTAGTGGATATAGAGGCCAGTAGGTGAGCTTTGAGGTAGGTGAGTAAGAAAAATATCCCAGGTTGCCTCTAAATCCATAAAAGGACCAAGACAAGACAATCCTCCTACTGTAGCCTCCCGAGTGTTGAGATCATAAGTGTGTGCTGGCACTCCCAGCTGGGATTTTGCATTTTTTTTTAACAAGCTCCCAAATACTGTAGGTCCAAGGTCCCACTTTAAGAAACTGATTCCCAAGTCTCAGCAAAGTCACTTGACAACAGTTTATTGCTTGTTTTTCTATCCTGCTCTATGCTCAAAATAAACAAGCAGAGACTCTTATAGCTATTCAAGAACCAGATTGCCTAAAATCTAATGCCTGAGTCAAACATGTGAGTTTCTTTTCTTACTCAATGTCACTCATAATGTCTAAGTGGGCCAGGGAAATCCTATGTGCCTGAATATTCACTATTCATGAACAGTGCCTCTGGTATGTTCATCATGGTGCCAGATGTGTGAGCAGCATTGTCATTCTATTTTTAAGGAGCTTATAGGCCAAGGATAATTATCATGGTATGTGTGAGAAAAAGATACACTGTATAGTTGGTAAATTCACATGGCGCAACCTTACATACCTGGAAGGAGGGGCTTGATGTATTCCTGCACTGGGACAGCTACCACAGTTTCAGGGTGTGGAAATGAGTTTGGGAAAGTTTTTAAGACTTGGTTCTTTTCTCCTTTCTCATTAGGAATTACTTTCATGTATAAAAGGAGATATTTAGATGTAGTAAAGTCAAGAGAGGTGAATACATAAGCTTGCACAAATCCTTGAAGAATGGATCAAATTTAAACAGGAATGGGGAGCATAAGGAGAAAAGGCCACCTGATTTCCAGCCAAGGTGAGAGAGAACAATCACTAAATGGTGCCAGAAATCAGAGTCTAGATATGTGGTCTTCCAAAGACAAAGAGAGTGATATATTTTATGTCAAGTAGAAACAGGCTAGTGTAATCTGAGAGGAGGGAACACCAATGGAGAAAATGTCTCCCTAAGATTGGGCTATTGGCAAACCATTAGGAGCAAGGTGCTAAGAAGCAACACTCCATGGCCTGTGCATCAACTCCTGCTGTTAGATTCCTGCCCTGCTTGAGTTCCTGTCCCGACTTCTTTAGTGATGAACAGCAATGTGGAAGTGTAAGTCAAATAAGCCCTCTCCTCCCCAAGTTGCCTTGGTTGTGGTGCTTTTACTACAGCAGTAGTAATATTTAATGAGACAGTATTTACCTTTCTGTGACAGAAACTAGGGACCACTTGGAAGCCTTTTTTTCCACTCTCTTTTAAAATGAATGATCTGGTATAAATTAATTTGAAAGACACTTGTATTTCCACAAAGAGATATGGGAGAAGACTGAAACTCTCAGGGATGGTGAAAGCCAAGGCCAGGTGTGTGTGTGTGTGTGTGTGTGTGTGTGTGTGTGTGTGTGTGTGAGAGAGAGAGAGAGAGAGAGAGAGAGAGAGAGAGAGAGAGAGAGAGTGTGTGTGTGTGTGTGTGTGTGTGTGTATGCACCCAGTATCCTATTTTAGTGCCCTGTTGCTGTAATAAATAAAACACCCTGACAAAGGTAACTCAGGGGAGAAAGGGTTTAATGGGTTCACAATCCTAGATAACAGTGCGGCACTGTGTGGAAATTAAGGTGGCAGAAACTTGAAGCAAGTCCCATGATAGTCAAGGTGCATATGTGCTAGTATTCAAATCCATTTCTCTTTTGGTTCAAGACAGGCCCAGGCTATGAAATGGTGGTGTCCACATTCATGGTATGTCTTCATTCTTCAATGAATCCAATTAAGAACAAATATTAGGGTTTTATTATTGTGAAGAGACACTATGGCCATGGCAACTCTCTCTCTCTCTCTCTCTCTCTCTCTCTCTCTCTCTCTCTCTTTCTCCAAGACAAGGGTGTACCTCTGTGTATCCCTGGCTGTCCTGGAACTCACTCTGTAGACCAGGCTAGCCTCAAACTCACAAAGATCCTCTGCCTCCTGAATGCTGGGATTAAAGGCATGCACCACCACTGCCAGGTACGTGGCAACTGTTATAAACAAAAACATTTAATTGGGGCTGTCTTACAGTTCAAAGGTTTAGTTTACCATGGTGGTAAATATGGCAACATGCAAGCAGACAAGATGCTGGAGAAGGAGTTGAGAGTTCTACCTCTTGATCCACTGGCATCAGGAAGTGAACTGGAGAGCTTCTGAGACCTCAAAGCCTACCCCCTAGTCAACCA